CCTAAGGACAGTGCATGGGCTTCTCTGCATATTTGAGGCCTCTCTCTTAGTGCTCACGGGACCCTTCCCCTGACCCCTTTTCCAGCTGCCCTGGGTGCTAGCAGTAGGAGGAGTCTGTTTGTGACTGCTGGTCCTTTCTGTCACTTTGGATCATCACAGCACTCTATGAGCTGTACAGAGAGTAAATCCCCATTCCATACTTCAGTCAACTGAGGCTGACAGGGATTAGATGGATTGCCAAAATTGTCTAGAAATCCTTTTTCCAGCTCAGTCCTCTGCTAGAACCTTCCCAGAGTCAGAGGAACATGCTTGTTCTACCTGTACCTGAAGACAAGGGAATGCACAAATTAATTTACTAATCATGGATATATTTCAAGATCACTTATAATGTCAGAATCTAAGGGACAGCTCAGTCACATGAAGGGGATGAAAGTTGAGGCTTTTCTTTCCTGAGGCTGCCAGTAAACTAAGCAAATATGTGTGTATGCATTATATACATATGTACACACACATATGTTGTGTGCTGTATATTTACACACATGTATATTACATTGATGCCTCTCTAATAATGCCATTTTATTCTTAAAAAGAATAACACAATAAATATCTTTCTGTTGCCTAGAAATAGCATCCAATTTGCCTTAAAAATCACATTACTTGTTTTTATTTCCATTTTTGCCAATGCAGCCCTGTCACCCTTCTTTCTCCCCTGAACATTTTGAACTTTCCAAACCCCAGAGAAACACATCACGCTTTACTGAGGTTTTGAGGAGAGGAAGAGAGGTTTTCCCATTCTGTACCTTGGAGGAACTGAAACTGGCAGGTAGTAGCAACTGTCTTCAAAGAAATAGGCTAAGGAACACACACGTGCAGACACACAAACACACATTCTCTTACTTTGCACCAATAAGATCATACTGTATATACTCTTCTACAATTAGTGTTTTCTTTTATATATCCCAGCCATCTTTTCAGATTGACACTTAGGGATATAATTGTAATTATAGTCTTTTCTTGGAGTTTGTTTGTTTTTACTTCTGGTAATGTATTCTTTACTCTCTTTTTAATTTAAAAAATGTTATTTTTGACACAATTATTTTACATATGTATGGGCACAGTGGACTATTTTGACACATGTATGTAATGCACAATGATGAAATCAAGGTAAGCAGCATATCCATCACCTCAAAAACTTACCATTGTTCTGTGTTGATAACATTCAAAATTCGCTCAAGTATACAATAATTTTTTGGTTGGCTATGGTCACCCTACAGTGCTAAAGAAGGCTACAACTCATTTGTCCTATCTAGCTGTAATTTTGTACCCATTGCCCCACCTTTCCCATTTCTCATTCCCCTTAATCTTCCCAGCCTCTAATATATTCTGTTCTACTGTTTGCTTACTGTTCTATGTTTACTTCTATGATATTAGCGAAGTTTTCTTAGCATCCACAAATGAGTGAGAACATGTTGTGTTTAATTTTCTTTTCCTGGCTGTATTTCACTTAACATAATGGTTCATCTATGTTGCCATGAATGGCAGAATTTTATTCTTTCCTATGGATGAACTGTATTCCATTGTGTTTAGTTACTACATTTTTTAAAAATCCATTCATTCACTGATAGACACTTAGGTTGATTCTATATCTTGGCTATTATGAATAGCCCTGCAATAAACACAGGAGGACAGATATCTCTTTAACATACTGGATTCCTTTTCTTTGAATACCCAGTAGTGGGGTTGCTAGGTCATATGATAGTTCTAGTTTTAGGTTTTCGAGAAGGCTTCATTTTGTTCTCCACAATGGCTGTAGTACTTTCCATTTCCACCAAAAGTGTATAAGAGTTCCCTTTTCTCTGCACCCGCACCGGTATTTATTCTTTTTTGTCTTATTGATAAAAGCCAGTCTACCTGGGGTGAGATAATTTATTTTTGTTTATAAACAGTTGTTTATAAAGGTCTTTAATGATCCTTTGTCTTTCTGTGATATCAGTTATATAATGTCTCCTTTCTTGTTTCTGATTTTTATATAGGTCTTCTCTTTTTTTCTTACTTTTCTAGCTAATGGTTTGTCAATTATGTTTATTTGTTCAAAAACCCAACTTTTCAGCAGGGCATGGTGGCTCATACATGTAATTTCAGCACTGAGGCTGAAGCAGAAGGATCACTTGAGGCCAGGAGTTTGAAACGAGCCTGGGAAATACAGCAAAAACTTGTCTTTGAAAAGCTAAAAAAAAAAAAAGTCTTAGCCTGGTGTGATGACACATGCCTGTAGTTCCAGCTACTCAGAAGACTGAGGCAAGAGGATCACTTGAGCACAGGAGTTGAAGGCTGCAGTTAGCCATGATCATGCTGAGAGGTGACAATGTGTTAGCAGCCCTCGCTGGCTCTCGCCACCTCCTCAGCCTCGGCGTCTGCTCTAACCGCGCTCCAGGAGCCTTTCAACCCACCGCTGCGCTGTGGGGGCCCCTCTCTGGGGCTGGCCAAGGCCAGAGCTGGCTCTCTCTGTTCGTGTGGAGGTGTGGAGGGAGAGACACAGGCGGGAGCCGGTGCTGCGCGCCGCGCGTGCGGGCAGGCGCGGGTTCCGGGTGGGCATGGGCTGGGCTTGATGGAGGGACGAGCTCCCTCTGGGCTGCCAGTGTGCCCGGGCTAGGTGCCACAAAGTCCTGGGAAGAGTGCCAGTGAGAGGTGAAGCTGGCTGGGCTTCTGGGATGGGTAGGGGCTCCCAGAACTTCTCTGTCTAGCTAAATGTTTGTAAACGCACTAGTCAGCACTCTGTGTCTAGCTAAAAGTTTGTAAATGCACCAATCAGCACTCTGTGTCTAGCTAAAGGTTTGTAAATGCACCAATCAGC